CGATGTTTCCAAGTTTGCCGCTTCCATCCTCAGCCCCGAAGATACCCAGGTCGAGAATTTCAACTTCTACTATGCTCGCGAATATCAAGCCCGGATATACAACGACTTCATCTCTCTGCGCGACCCGCGTAACCACATGATCAAATTGGCCATCTCCCACGCATTGGCCCAATCCGTCAAGACCTCCCTATTCGAAGACCTCGTATCTGAGACCATCTCCAACACCGCACCCCTACCCGCCCAGATCGCCCAGACAGGCAGTGTTAATCTCACCCGGCGCCAGATCAACATGCAAATCGGCGAATTGTTCATCCTACGGATCAATATTCACCTGCAAGGCTCGGTTCTAGACTCTCCAGAACTCATGTGGGCCGAGCCTCAGCTAGAACCGGTTTACCAGGCCGTCCGCAGTTACCTTGAAATGGACCAGCGCGTAAGCCTACTCACGGAACGACTGGACGTGATAGCGGATCTTCTCGCCGTCCTCAAAGATCAATTAACTCACCGCCACGGTGAGTATCTTGAATGGATCGGTAAGCACCTCACCCCCTGCATCAACCTGTTCTAATCAACTAATACACGTCACAGTAATTGTTCTCATTGCGGCAGAAATCCTAGTCGCAGCCATCAACATCGTAGTTGACTTGTACGCTGGCGTGGAGTGAACACTACCTACCCTTTCTACTAACAATTACTACTACTATTGCCTTGTCTACATCACCCAACAACACCCTTCCTATACATCTACAGCCCATCACCACGACACCACACCACACTACACTGAGTGTTCTCTTTCAGTATTCGTTCACTTCAGCGGAGTTAAGGGTTCGGGCATACATCTGTCATTTAAGTGGGAAACAGGAGTGAAAGTGGGAATTATCAAAGCAAAGCCCTCCTTGCATCGCTACGAACAATGCATATCTATCTATATTTAGTATCTAGTATCAGTTCCTCTACAAATAACTTATCTTAAGCTGTATATTACACCCATTGAATGCACCAGAGACGATCCGAATCTACCCTTAACTTATTTAAGCTGAAGTCATTATGGTACATTATGTAGTAGGACCAACCCGTCGGTGCTCTGATAGGACTGTACTGGACTGCACTTTCGTATATGTACCACTAGTATGGCTAATTAATCCATCTGTCTAGCCTTATATCCTAGTGATACCCAGTATCTATGGCAAGGCATGATGATCATCGATGCACATACGGTAGTATTTACTGACTACACATAGCAAAGGATGACTATTCTATAATGAAGCAGGCAGGTATCCCCCCACTTCCCCTCTTACACATACACACAACAATAGAAATGATAACGCTTTTTGCCCATCGTATACTATAGAACACATAAGAAGAGTAAAGAGGGGGATAAAAGATATCCCAAACCCCTAAGACGAAATGAAATATAACCCGACGATGAATAACACCCATTATCACAATAACACAAAAGAAAGTAGAGTAATAAAGTAAAAAGAAAGAAAAGAAAAGTCTAGGGTATGGTTATGGTATAAGTTTGATAATCACCCCTCCCTCTCCTCCTTAGCTTCCTCCTCCTCCTCTTCCTTGGCATCCATATCCATCGGCGTCGTCTCATCCTCCGCACCACCATCACCCCTCTGCTCCGCAGATTCAGGGTTATGGCTTCCGCGATCACTAGTAGCACCCTCCTTATCATTCGCGGACCCGTTACTACCCGGTTGAACGCGGAATGACGAGGTCATATCATCCTGCGACGGGGCGGGGGCTAGTCGCGGCAACGAGGACGACGAATCTCCATTACCGTTATCACCATCAGCTGCTGCTGCTGCGGCGCCAGATTCCGTCGCATCTTTATCCTTGGCGTCTTTCTCCTTCTCTTTATCTTTGCTGTTGCTTTCAGTGTTGTTCTCATTGTTCGCCGCCTCATCCTCCAAATTAGCATCATTGGGCAAGTTGGATTTCCTGGATCGCTTCACGCGCAGAGGCCTTTCCTGGGGCTGTACATAATCACATCCATTACCATTAGCGAACCTTCAAACCCTAAATATACCAAAGAGGTAGAGGAAGGTAGAACTTACAGTAGGCGGCTGCTCATCGGAACTCCCCTCCGTCTCGTCCTCCAGGAACTGCGGCGCACCCGCAGCACCGTTCTTGCCCGTCTCTCCACCCGTCACGGCTGCGACATTCGTCATCATGGCTGATGCCCGGGCGCGCAGTTCCGGGTTCACGCCCGCCTGCGCTTCCTCCGTCATGCCGGTGACTTTGGCCAGTCGTTCCAGGAGAATGCATGACTCGAGGCGCATCTTCTGAATGTATTGCCAGCCGCGACGGTTGCGGAGACGCATCAGTTCATTTTCTTCTTCGATTTCGTTGAGGCGCTTCTTTAGGGCCAGGCATTTGCGTTTGTAGGCGTTTTCGACGCTGGGGGGGTTGGAGGTTGTCGAGGGTTGGCGGGTTTCTTCCATTGTGGTGGTGGATGGTGTGGTGTGGTTATTGAGAAGTAGAAGGTAGGGTTGAGTAGCGCGATTGATGTGTTGTTGTGGTGTTGGTTGATGGTCAAGGGATGTCGGAGGAGCGAAGTGGTTGGGGATGAATTTAGGATGTTCGGAGATGCGCGATTAGGGGGGTAGTTATAGTGTGGGGGCGCGAGTGACTCCGAACAGATAGAAAGATTACCCAGGGTAATTGATGAATGAGAAGGGAATCCCCGAGGTGAATTGGATGGCAGCGAGGCGGATCTGAGAGGAATGGATGGGACGAGAATCAAGTCGGAGCTGAAGCCGAAGCAGAAGCAGAGCCAGTCACGTTCTGCCGGTCGGGGAGGCGGGCGGTCAGCGGAGTCTGGGGTATAACACTACACTACTATACTAGTATTTAAAAGGAGCAACACACTAAAGCTTCATTATCGTCATTATATTGCACTAACTCCTGAAAACTACTGTTCATGAGAAAAGACGGATCTATCCGTACGAATGAGTAAACATATCGCTAATGTCCACCAGTAGTCGGCAACCCAAGGAACACCTTGAACGAGTCGTAACTATATATCTGCGTCAGTATCCAGCCCTCATCCTTATCACAGCATCATCATCACTTACATCAACCATTGGAATCCAGTCAATGTACCCAGCATGACAATTCTCACAGGCAGTCCATTCCACAACCCCGAGAACCCAATGTTGCTATAGATCCTCGACACCGCAGTCATAGCTCCCTCACCAGCTAAACATCATCAGCCATAACCCTAAACACCATAATCGATAAATAATGACAAACAGGATAACTCACCTTTCCGATCCGCATTCAACTTACTCACCATAACATCCGCCGGGTGGCTGACAATGGCACAGAAGATACCCGCAATATAACCTCCCAAAAAGCTGACTCCCGTCTGCTGCAACCCATTGAACTGCTCCTTGGGCTTGCCCAACGTCTTATAAATAAACTTGACCGTCTCCTCAAACGTCGCAAACTTCGTCATGGTATAGGGGATCTGTCTCGCCCACAACGGATACAACCCCTTATACAACCCCGACATGCCCTCCTGCGCCACGATTTTGCTCCATCCCTCGCGCAATGTATGCGCAAACGGCGGCAGTGTCGTCTGCATGCGCACCTTGATGGCCTCCATCGGACAGAGGGCCATATCAGCGAAGAATTCGGCCGAGGCACTGGCGCCAAGGAAGACGACGGTGCGGTTCGCATTCGGGAACAGCTGATCTCCATAGAGGTATTTGAAGTATTCGTAGAAGCCGTATTTACCGGCGCCTTGGAAGGAGTAGCCGACAAAGGTTGGGGTCCAGCCGAAGAAGATGCCGCGCAGACCTTCTTTGGATATGATGGTGCGCCAGGCGGAGAGGTTGGAGGTGTAGATCTTGGGGTCGACTTGACGGCGGCATTTTACAAGGTCGAGGGGAGTGACGGCTGTGTGGGTTGGGCCTGTGGGGAGGAATTGGAATTAGGAATGGTGGTGTGGTTGGAGATAGGATGGTTATACGTACCGCAGGCTGTTCGAGGTGGTCAGTATAGAAGCTTTGTGATGCAGAAGAGGGCTAGATGGCAGACTACTCACCAATGATTCCTCCGAGTGTGCAACTGGCAAAATACTTGGCCGAGTTGGGTTCAATCTTACCCAAGGGGTACTTGGGCTTTTGTGTCGCCATTCTGAGAGCTTATCTAGGGAGGGAAGTAGAGGAGGGGAGCAATGGAAGCTTATCGACGAAAAGGACAAGAGAGGAGAGGGGAGAAATCTACCGAGCAAGGTACGTGAACAATGTAGTATAGGAAAATTCAATGGATGAAAAAGTGTACTATCCACACTACTTATATTTACTTTTGTACCGTGTCAGCCCGCAGGCCATGTCGTCAGAGTCTCCAGCTGGGAAAGGACAAACAAGTCGCGGTCCAGATCCATTAGCCAGTCCAACGGCTAATCGGCACCCGCGCAATGGGCTTTTCTCTGTGCCGGATACGTTCCGATTTGCCGTTTTTCGGAATGAACTTTTTCTTTGTGTGAAACTGAGATCTACATAAGCAGTGAATTATTCACTTTATTGTGTTCCATTCGTCTCTGAGTATTGTGTGTTGTGTCTGCGGCGCCTTGGAGATAGTGCAGATCGATGACGTCAGTGCATCCGGGGTGGCCGGATGGAGTAGGGCAAGAATGTTATGGATCTATTTATCTTCTATAGACATAACAATAGATCATGTAGCAAAATTACCGTTTGGTCGAATAAGACAAGGCAATCTAGGATACGATGAATTCATCGGTGTTTGAGATTAATGAATTACGTCCTACCACTATAACCACTACTCTGCTGAGTAGAACTTATAATCCTGCTGTAACACCTGTGCATGGCAAAAACAAGCTAGCTACACCAACAACGGCATCGAATTGAATGTAGCCTTTAAAGACGACTCTGCACTATCAGGTGTCGACCTCTCAATTCTCGTGGTCTGCTGGGAGGCTTAGCAATACCTCTACTCATTCGAGAGGACGCTCCCTCAGCGTCTTAGACAATCTGGGGCCCAGGTTTCCATCCCTCTGCTTGGGTCCAAACATATGTTCCCAGGATGTCTTGATCGTCCGGAAAATAAGTTAATCTGATTGTTTCAGGACTGTTACGGCGATCTTGTTCAATTGACGCAGACAGCGAGGAAAGTCCACTGCGGGCTGTTGTGATAGGAGTGCCGACGATGTGCGTTCGAGATTCGTTGTATTGAAATTCTTTCAAATATCCATCGGAGAGTCCGAACAGGCGAGGCTCATCGAACCAACGACTGACAGCACACAGTTCAGTGACTTTCGCAAAGTCGCCCGGCTGTCCCAATGGCGTTTCTACAAGGATCTAGTTAACTTGAGCCCACTGGGTGACATTCAAGGTCTCCAGTGAGATTGCAGAGAAGGCCGAAGGACATACTTGTATATTCCTCTCCATCATATGCCTTGTGATAAGTCCAACCGTTTCCGGTTTCATCTTCAAGAAAGTAGACATGGATGCCTTCCGTGTTTATGCACGATGCCGTCTTGCCCGACTCCACTTCGTCGATGAGCTTGATCTCCCAGTCGGAGTCATTAGACTTTCTATGAAACTCATATAAGTTCTGATTTACAAAAAAACTATGTAAATATCAGCGACGGATAACGAAACGGCAGAGAGCGACTGGTCACAACTATATACATACGTCCGGACACAGAATGCCCATTGCCAGTCAATGTATTCAAGGGCAACATCACTATTATGGTTTGCAGTGGTGCAAGGAGTGATATAAGAGACATAGGGTCCGCCTGTACCTATCTCACAGATTGCTTTCTGGACTTCATCCGTATAGGGTCGTGTTTCCCACTGAGAATCTTCGGTGACACCAATTCTTAATTCAGTCAACACCGTAAGGCACACAAGCTAAGCATAGTCAGTTCATCGTTCCATCAGTATTTCCACCCCCCCACCCCCCAAATAATTCAAGGGTTATCTTTGAAATTCTGACCAACTTTGCATGCTTTTCGCTTCCAGGGTCATGGAACCAGCCACAGGCTAGTGAAATAGAAAGTTCGTCTGATTCGTACTCGTTTCTAAACACTCATTCATCCTTGACAAGTTGGTACAGCTTTATTGGCCATTTACGATTTTCATCTTCGCTGTAGAAAACCAGCGCAAAGACGTCCTTGTCGAGAGTAGTGGTGATAGATGATGACATTTTAACCATGTTGGGCCGTAAGTAAGGCTGGTGCGCTCCGTTCTATGAATCTGGGGTGGGACTGGGGTAGCTTGTTAACTTGTAAGAGATCAAGGCAAAGTGTCTTAGTACCATACTCGGATATGTGGGCGATAGGTTGTAATTTAGGTAGCATTCAATGATCAAAGGCAGGCGACGTCATAGACCTAGTACTGCATTCTTTACTGCGGACCAGTCATGACAACCTTGCATGGTGCAACGTGCCTACCGAATCGGGTAGCGGATAGGTGCCTCCTCTCTTTTCTCCTACCATATGTATTTAGAAAGCATTCTACAAGCATCCTACTAAAAACACCAAATTGAACTACCATCTGCTTTGACTTCGTTTCCTTCTTCTTCATTTGCTTAGTATTAGATCCGTTTGCTCCAGCACGGAGCACATGGAGTAGCTTCACTTCTCTCCGCGCACCCAGCCCTATCAACTTGTCTTCACCTGAAGCAGTACTACTAGGAAAATGCATGGCCACCTCTGTGATCAACATGCCTGGCTTGCCGAGGAGGTCGGGCTGATTCGTCCTTGAAGCTGCATATGCACGGAGCCAAAATACCCCGCAGATTCCTCTGGGAAAAGGTGAATATCCCCCACAGAAGACAGTAGTGAGCAGAAGGCCTCAGCTACCACTGTACACGTTGCACAGCATGTTGCGGGATTATCTGATCTCCGCATACAAAGGCATATGCAGACAGCCCAAATCACGGCCTCGGTAGATCCTTCTATTCGCGTTTTAGCAAGTAATCGAACTAAGTGTCTATTTTCCCTGGGGTAATATACTCCATGACATACAAGATATAGCTTGACGAATTAGTAGCAGCGACAACATTGCAGGTGCATAGTGGTGGGCTCAAAGGCAATATACCTATCACTACCCTGACATGCAGTAAGTAGTAAGTAGGTAGGGGATGCAGTAGCTATGCCCGTTCAACCCCACATACATATTTCAGCACCTACTACAAAGCAAGCCCTAGCTACTAACTACCACTGATGCTCAGTGGCTGCCTTACTTCCAAGCGCTCCTACTACATGTTCTTTACACCTCATAGATGAGAAACACTGGAATATATGCCTCATGCACTTTATTGCTGAGCGCTTACTCGAAGGGTCGGCAATTGGGTACCTCTGCCTAGCATTGCAGAGAAGATCAGGTAGAATGGTGAACTTAAATGCATATGTGATCATCTGCAGAAGCAGCCAGGTTTATCAGAGAGAATCTACGGAGCACGTTACTTACCTGGTTGGTGAGTGAAGGAAAGGAATTAGTTTCCAGAGCAAATCGGATTGTCAGGGGAAATGGCTGCAGCAAATTACTCCTGCAGAGTGATAAATTCTTCAATGCTGACCCCCATGTAATGGATGCTACAGGCCGGCCTAGAAGCTCCTATTGTACATTGACCAATGTATGGTACTACTTATATTAATAATGTCACCAAGCGCAGCATATGTATGCACTGATACCCTGGGACACCCGGGAAGCATTTACAGCTCGGTGGGTGTGTGGTTGGTCGAGAGGCACTGATTTATGCTAGGGAGTGGGAAATCGGCAATTTGGGTATCGGTAACTAGTTGCAGCTACCAGGGCAGGTGATAAGAACGTGTGTTTGAGACTGACTGTTTCTCTTTCAAAGATCCGAAGGGAGACTCTACATGAATAGAGCAGCTGGGGCAAAGGACGAATTTTATCCAGCTGTATCAGATAGTGTTATTCCGAGTCATGAATGATGACAATGGTAAGACTTACGTTGCAGAGATCGGCCGGTGGCTTGAGACAGGCCCAAGCCAAGTTCAATTGATTGCGGTCATTTCTTTTCCAAGAAGCAGTAGTTGAATAATTACCAGTAGCAATTATATACATATTAATTTACAGGTATAGTTTGTCCAGCCCCACGTAGCCCCGAGGGATACACTACATGCATGTGTCCTACCTTCCCTACTTACATGACGGACACCTCCCTCACCGGCTGTTCCAAAGAGTACAATTGAGGCATGCTCGACATGACATCCCGCCCATCATAACTCGCCAACATAGTAGCCAGCTTGATGCCAGCTTCCGAGCCCGTCCGGGCCATCACGCCTCGGATCATCTGCGTCTGTTCGGGCGTAGCAAGTCCACACGACAAAATAAACCACAGAGGCCATAGCATAGTGTAGAGATAAAAGGCTCGAACCCGAGACATCCCCTGCTCAGACGGTGGCATCGGGTTTCCGAACATATCGATCTCCCCAAAGCAGAATGGTACACTCCGACAAGAATCGGAGACCATCTCGAGGCTTAGCCGTAGGCCATCTGCCTCATGCTGAGACGCTTCATGCTGAATACCGGGGGAATCACACAGAGAGACCAGTGTTCGGAAGAGATCTGCCAAGACTCTGTGGATGAAGATTCGAAGGACACGGTAGTGGGCCCATATAACCGCAGCAATCATCTCTCGATACGTGAGAACATTCTCGCCCGTGTGTGATTGGGTCTCGAGGGGTAGCCAGATGTCCGATAAGGTTTGGGTCCACTGGAACAGTTCTGAATCCAAGCGTCGGCAGGAGTCGATCCATGACGCTAGCTTCGTGATCCCCGCAGATTGCAAGGAATCTGAAGCAGATGTTGGCTCTGAAATCAGCTTTCTGACCTTGGACGCAATTATCATAAGGGATTGTAGCGGATCTGCGCCGTCGAGACGCTCAACTAGTCGGTCCGAGTCCAGACTGGGTTTTCCCTTCAGCAGGAGGAACTCGATTTGCTGGATTATGCGTTAGCATTCACCCATCCATCATTCAACAGAGGCATCCGAATTGACTCACCATACGAACATACGCATACTTGAACATATCCAGTCCCGCCGCATGTCCCAGCTGACTCTCCCCCCTCAATCTCGTAAGTGCCTCAAATCCCACCGTATGCGCACTGGTAAGCCCATGGCGATCCCCCGAGATATCCTCAAACAAAGACAGAATAACCAACGTCGCAAACGTCTCATCTTTCGCCGCCTCAAGCGGCAAATCCAACGCCTCCTGCAGATGTCGCAGCGCCAACCCAAAGCGATATCTCGCCTGGGTCACAATTCCAGGCACATTAACCCTATTACTGAGGGCCATCAGGGCCGTTGCATCGACAGCTAATCGTAAAGACAATGATGCGGGGTTACCATGATTCTGATCTCGACAATCAGCATACAAAGACGGGAGGAACCCCAGATGTCCCATGCCGCCGACTGCATTGCATTCCACGATGGTGAACTGATCGAAGAAATAGCAAAGTGCTCTTTCTTCCCATGTGGAATCGCTGATCTGATAAGCGGGCAATGTCGCCACTTGCAGATCCTTGCCGCCGCTTAATACATCATGGTTGCTGGGCTGCTGTTTACTTGACGAGGAAGAGTAGACAATGGCCTTGCCATGGATCAGTTGCTGCACTTTGTACGTTTCATTCCGGAAGATCCCATCCGGTCGGTAGCCCGGACATGGCTTGCCGTGTATGCCGCAGTTTCGGCACCCCGGACGGCCTTCATCGCACTGGGAGGCAGCTTAGCGTGGGGTCATACAGATGAACAGCATACCCATTGGGGTGGAATGATATGCAAGGGGCATGATGTGCCATGACATGTCAAGGCTGCAGATCTGTCCTACCTTGATTTTCCGTTTGCGACACAAATGGCACCCTGTACTTGGCTTCCCGCCGTACACCATCTTCGTCTACTTGATAGGGGCCCAGCTGCGGGATAGAATATGCAGTGGAAGCGACATAGATGGGGACGATTTTTTAAGTGCTTTGTCAAGCGAATATATCAAATGCTTGATGGCGTCGTCGCAGCTGGTGCCTTGAGGGATCGACACAAAGAACCGTAGAATACGGGGTCTTGATCTAGAGGGGCCAGTCAGGTGACTTCCATTATCAACGAGAAACAACCCCAACTACAAATACTACAAATACGACCCCACAGCATCACGGCACTTGATCAACCTCATTGGTTTAGTCAAAGCATACGTAGTGATCTATTATAATATCTATTCCTCTCGTCTCAGAACCCTTTCGGGATACTTCTAACAACTGACTATCTGAACAACAAGAAAAACCCCACCAAGGGAGACAAGGCACGCTGGGGTGTAGTCGTGGTGAAAGGTAAGCTGAATGTCTTCGCTTTGTAGGACCAACAGTAGAAACACCAAATCGTCTGTAAATGGTAAATACATCATCTCCCGAGGCGGGTATCATCTAACCCTCGAAAAACAAAAAGTAGAGGTAAACATATCATGAGCCAATCACGGTTCCCCTGAGACTCCTGCAGGTACAACGCATCAAGTAGCCCACCCTTTGCCATTTTGTAACTCCACTCCACGTTTCCCATGAAAACTTCGAGAACAAGACCGGAAAATTGAAAGAAAAGAGATCCGTTTAGACCAAACACCCAGAATGCGAATGCTGATGTTCGATGACCTGGCAACGCTGACCGCGCCTCGTTTGCCTAGCGACACTCAGGTTGGACCAGCCGGGTCGTTGAAATCAGGCGCTAAAACAATAGGTATATAGACGGTAACGCTTGGATTCATAAAGCAGGAAAGAAGGATGTGCTAGTCATTGCGAAGGTGTTATCCCTAGTCAGGAGGCGGGGGCATCCACCATGGTCTGGTCATCGTCACTATTGAGCGGCACACTAGGCGGGGGGTCCGAATAGCGCTCCCTATGTCGGCTGTCGTTACTCGTGGGGTGCAGACCCGGCGTACTGGAAGCACTCTCCACTATCACAGCATCGTCGCCATCTTCTTCGGGTGGTGGTGAGAAAGTCCAGACCTAGAACACATTCATTCCCGGTTAGTCTGTGATAAGATGTAGGAGACAAGGGAGAAATGAGCGAATGTTCCTTACCTCCATCACTGTGCGGCCTGCTCTGCTAGCCATGATCACAGCTTTCTCTTCCTCAAAGGCAACTCGCCAAACAGCCTCTGCCGGTGTCGACAGTTCTCTGAGTAGTTGACCGGTCTGCAAACTCCACACCTTGACACGACCGTCACTACCACCACTGACAATTCTGGAACTGTCAAACTGCAAGCTGGTAACGCTGTTATCATGAGCTGCAAGCCGGTGAATGGGAGCCATCTTGGTCAACGACCAGACCCGAACAGATCCATCAGAACCACCGGTGACCAAGGTATCTCCCCGCATTTGTAGCTGCCCTACTAGGGAGGTATGGCCCTGGAGGATAGCATGGCACTGGCCCGAGTGCGGATCCCAGATCCGCACGCTGGTATCCAAACTGCCGGTGGCGATGCGTCTGCCATCAAACGCGATAGCATAGATTTGGCTGAAGTGGCCCGAGAGCGTCCGTAAGCATCGTCCCTCAGAAATGCTCCAGATGCGTGCCGTAGTATCATAGCTTCCCGAGACTACAAGATCTCCATGAATGGCCAGGCAGCGGACACTAGCTTGATGCCCAACCAGAACGTTCTTGCAGGTACCCGAGGCGAGATCCCATATCCGCAGCGTTGTATCCCGTGATCCCGAGATCGCCGTGTTCTTGTCGGACATTTTGAGGCAACGCACGGTTGACGTATGGCCACGTAAGAGGTAGAGACAGGCACTGTAATTTGATTTGTTCGTCAGTAGTGACCTCCGACTGCAGGCCGTCATAGTTTGCTTACCCGGTCGCCATGTTCCAGACCCTCACTTCTCGGTCGCACCCACCACTCACAAGAATGTCATCCCAGGGAACCATCGCCCATACGCCCATAACATGGCCTTGAAGAGTTCTTTGGTTATCCCCATTGGTATCGTATACATGAATCTTGGCATTGTCTAGCGCGACCACAATATACTTGGGGGTTAAATGCAGGCTTGTGACCACACCCTGGTCGGGTGTGATGTGTCGCTGGGTACAGCGCCCACCCTTGTTCCAGGCAGATTCCACCATGTACTTTTGCTTGAAATGCGATCTGTAGGACAATGGTCGGACCCGTCTCTTGCGTGACGGGTATCCCGACAGGGAGAGCCAGTCTCCCGACAAAGAGCGCGACGAAACGTCGGGCAGACCCTCTCGAGGCTGGAGAGTAGACACATGGGGCCTCCTTTGCAACCCGCTCAAAGATTGAGTACTGGACACAGCATGCAAAGGCTGACCATGGAAAGGGTCGACGAAGTCCCGATCATCCTCCGACAGCCTCCGGGATGCATACGAGTGCTTTTCGCATAGGTTTTTCCACGTAATATCATCATTCAGCAGTTCCCGCCAGCGCTTCGATACTTGGGATGATCTTGCCAACGTTTTCGGGTCATCGATGAATGATAGGACCTAGTGAAGCCAAGCGGGACAGATGTCAGCCTTGTTCGAGCGGTGAGGACATCCGCACCGGAAGAGGTAACCAACTCACCCTCAGACATAGTTCATTTGGGAACACCTGAAACGGATCTTTTCTCAACCGGGGGCTAACATAGCTAGAGACAAAGCTGAGATGCTGGCTATCGCACAGCCCCAATATGCCTTCCAAGAACTTTTGCTTCCGAGCATTGGAGAGAGAAGAGAAATGTATCCGAGCGTTCAGCAAAAAGGCATCGTCTTCCTCGTCGGGGGTCTGCCAGGTGGGAGGTCTTTGATGAGGAGTCGGACTGGGAGCAGGCGTGGGAGGTGACGCAGGCGCTGAGGGAAGCAAGTTGGGGGGAATGGGAGTACCGGTCTTGGTGGACGAAGAGAGCGATCTAGAATGAGTACTGGAAAGTGAGGCGACCGAATCTCTGGCTGCAGATGACTTTGATGGCGCAGTCGCCAGCTGCTCAGGTACGCTGCGCGGACTCATCCCGGTATCTACTGGATGGTTGAGTGCTCGTGGACTGCCGCGGTGAGGAGCGGTTGTGTCATCCAGGGGATTGCGTATTCCACCCGACTAGCCTTTCACACGGTGAACGAGATATCCCTACGCAAACCCCTTGCGACCCTTTCTCGTTCATAAACGGAGAAGGCGTAGCACACAAAACGAGAGAATGGGGTTGCTTTGATCCAAAAGAGAAAACGAAGGCGGAGGGGAAGAGCGAGAGATAAGACGGATGTGGACGATCTCCGCCGGGGCAGGGAAGACGAAAGGTTGGCGGTAGACAAGGGAATAGGGGGGTGGAAAGGGAAGAAGAGAATGGGAGTGTGGGTGGTCGGGTCAGAAGTTTTATAGATACCAAAAATGGCTGAAGAAGGAAAAGAGGGAAGACGAGGAAGAAACGGCAAAAAAAAAAAAAAAAAGTTAGAGAGTAAGTTGGAGGTGAAGGTCACACTGGATGGGGGGGGAAGTTTGGAAGGAGGCCGATGGGGGGGGGGGGGGGAGAAGAGAAAGATGATGAGAGGAGAGACGACGGATTGGTAGGTCCCGTACAGAGTACTGGTAAGTAACTATGGTACTTCGGTACAGCGGACGGAGGAGGGCGGTAAGATCAGAACTACTAATCAGGACTGAGTGCGGCCTTCCCGACGCCATCCAGAAGCAGGCGGAGAAGAAGCGACGAAGGAAAGACAAAGTCTGGATCATGCGATGTCGTGACGGGTCAGGTGCAGCCTTCCTCTTCTTCTTCCCCCGGAAACCCTCCATACCAGCCCAGATTACCCGCCAAGCAAAGCCGATGGCGCTTCTTCTCTGCCCCTGATTCGTGCAGCGGTATCGCTGGAAATCCACCCATAACTCTCCGTTGGTACTAACCCGGATTAGTCAGCTCCCAGAATAAAGTACTTTACTAAAGTTACGATGAACTAGTCCTGACTACTAGTAGTGCTACTGTCCTGGCGCCAGGGCGCTGCTCGTGGTCGGTACCGACTATCCTGACGGCGGCAATGGTATGGAGGTTTGTGAGACAACGAGCACCAACTGTTGGTTAAGTAGATGATAGTTGGTTATAAGTTAACCTCCGCTATGTCCCCAGTGGAGACAGGGCGTCATTGCTCGAAGTCCGTCTCCACGACCAAATATTGCCCCATCCGAACTCTCGAGCCGCTCTGGTCCGTCCTGTCTACGTCTATCTACTGTAGCTCTTACACATCTTCCACGCCATACTCTCCCCTAGACTGGATAGGTGGATGATGGCCCGAGAGACGAGCTCAGCTAAGAGACCAGCAAATAGGACCAGAGTGCCTGTTCCACACTATAGTTTCTCTGATACCTACAAGGATCAATACCACTGTCGTCACAAACTGCTAACTAGACGACGTGAAGTTGACGTGGAGACTCACCCATCTCAAGACCAGGGAAGATTAGTACGTAGTCTACCACAGCGGGACAGTTTCAAAAGCAAGGCACCCGAGCATAATGTCTGGTGCTTCGGTCTAACTTTTCGGTTCCACTGCAAGTCGTAGAAGATATACTGGTCTCAAGGCGGGAGTGGAAGAACGGGCATGCGTCGTACAACCATGGGTCCATGCAGGAGCCTCCAGGAAAAGCTACTAATGATTCAGTCTTGCCGAATAGTTTCATCACTGCCCCAATATGGGGAAGAGGTAATTCTCCGACTTCTCGGCGCACCGTTATACCAACCACATCTAAGCCAAGTCTACGTCAAAGTGATCGCGAGGGAGGGAAAAATGGAAACAAATCAAAACATAAAGAAAAGGACACATGCAATTATGATCAAAGTAAAGGGTTCAACCGCACCGTGCAAATGCTTCAAAATCGTGGCCATGACGTGTGGCGGCGCTGACTCAAGGACAATACAACAAGAAAGGCATAACCCCGCAGGAAATATAACACAAATCGCCGCGGTTCCCCAAGACTGGGAATCCGCCCAGTAACAACTGTCAAAATCTATTACACAAGACAACCTCCACGGCGTCTACAAACACGAATCGTCCGTATTTTAAAAAAACGACGTGTAGCTCACTGACCCAGAAGAGCTAAAGGTAAGAGAAGGAGAAAGAGACATGGTGTGAATCCAGAAAAGGATTTTGATAGTATCTAGTGGGCATGGCCAATCTGCAGGAACAGTGGAAGAACCATGCCAACAACAGAAGCGATCAGGTCCCTCATAGACTTGTCCGATGCTGACGGTGCCTCTCTATGGTCGCCGTATCCGTTGACCTGAGACTCACGTGACGATGAGTTCGGGCTGTTTTCCTGCATCGTGTGCATGGCAACGTATCTAGAAACATCAGTATCACCATGTACCGTAGAAGTTAGGTATGAAAGAACTTACAGGAATGTGCCAGCAGAGAACAAGAGAAGAACTCCGGTTCGCCAGCGGTTCCCAACGTCATCACCTCCTGACCCCGAGCCCATGATCTGCACAAACAAAAATGTCATGAGAGCACCTACAGGAGCAGCCAAACTGAAAATCAATAAATGCGCTCTAGCGGTACGACTAGAAAGGCCCTGCTTCAGTAGCACTGAGGTGAGGCCAAACGATGCGGGGGCTTTGTGAACCATGATGGCCAGGAAGATGATGAAGCTCAGCCCAGTGTCAGAGCTAGATGCACCCAAGGCAATTCCATCGGCGGCAGCATGAATGACAAGTCCAGTTGTCGTTGCAAAGCTGTGGCTTCTCCTGGGGATATTACCGGCATCAAGCAAGCCCCCCTCGCGTGACGGCGACGAATTACGCCGCAGGCCGGAACCCAAATTATCCAGAGAAATGTGATAGGGAATTCGCTCCTGTTTGGAGGATGACGCGAAAACGGGCAGTTTGTCGATGAGGTACATCAGTATAAAGCCACTAATGAGTGCAATTCCTATCCAAGCGTGGGGGGAGTTATCTTGATCGTGATCCTCGCCTGTGTGATCGTCCGATGTATCGTCCTTGCGTCCCACAATTCTGGGCCTTTGATCTAGTGTAGAATGGGTTGTAGGTACCGTGACCGGTGCGGATGGCAGATCGGATAGCACCGATCGAGGCGTAAATTTGACATCCGAGGAATCTGGTCCTTCCAATGTCCTCGGGAAATTGGTCACAGGTACAGCCTGGTGTTGCCAATTGACGGCTGTCGTCGATCGGCTGCTAAGTTCTTTTCGACTGCTAAGGGAGTTTGCGCTGTATAGGGTTTCGACTCCCTCCGGAATAATAACGATCAAAGATGTCCCAACCAGAACTCCCATTCCAAGGGAGGATATCAATCTTAGCTGAGAAGGAGAAAGTGTGAAGGCGAGCGGTAGTGATCCCACGACAAATGATCTATGTGACGCACCGGGGAAAAGCAAATTAGCACTGACAGTTCGCACCGAGCAGGCGACAAGTTCCAAGGGGTAGTCGACTCACGTAACGGCCATCACAATGCTCAATGCGAGCAAAGTGAAGAGTCCCTCCATGATCGGCCTCTTGTTCCAGAGCTTCGTCCGTGCTCTAGAAGGTTTCACTCATGTTGCCAATTCCAAGACCAAGATTCTCGATATACCCCTGATCCCGCGGCAGCGGTGATAGAGTCTAAATAGAAAAGCGAACAAGCGAGCTGGAGGACGAAAATAGGCCCGGAGAAGCAAGTGAGACAGGGGAGACGATGGAGAGCGGGCGGAAAGCAGGTGTTCCAAGGCGGTAGGAGGCAGAAGAACTGAAAACGTGGCGGAGGTGGACGGCCCTGATTATGGATTGATTGCGATTTGCCGCAGTGGGAAAGGCACGCCCCAGTCCGAGGCACGGGAGACCCACTGCCGCCCCAGGGATGGTTTATTATTATCTCTTCGGCTTCATGTTTTTCTTCTTCTACTTACAATGTATGAGGTAAACGCATGAAAAGAATATTGTGGATTTGCTCAATCCATCGATAAGTACATGTTGATGGCTTCCAAGCATCGGTGAACCATCGATTTAGCCAGCCGCCTGGGAGTTTACAGGCCGCAATATTCAAGCTTCCGCGGGCATCAGTTCCGGAAGGGTTATAAAGCCTGTGCTCCTCATACTTCTGGTCCATGGCGGCTGTAATCCTTCAGTTGGATCCCAATGATATCCTTCAGTCGTGCTTCCTTTATCTGGATTTGTTCCGCAGACACCGTTCCATAGGCTTCGTTCACTTGCGCAATGACCTTTTCCTTCCACTCTGTTCTTTCGTCGCCCTCCACGTTGATTCTCCCCTGCCCATCCCAGATGGTTTGCATAGTGCCACCAAGCTTGTTCAAGAAGGAACTTATGCCCCCTTCTCCCCCGCCATACTGATAGCTCTCAAACACACCGTTTCCAGCCCATCTTGGTCCCAAACTGGCCATCAGTATCGTGTCCAGGTCCTTTGCATCTACGACATCTTCCTGAACCAGATAGCAAGCTTCCCGTAGTAGGGCGAAGGCTAACCGATTGCCCACAAATCCTGGAATTTCTTTTCGAATGACCACGGGCCTATGTCTCGACCCAGGTAGAGAGAAGTATTCACGAGCAAATTCCACCCGCTCAGCGGAAGTTTTTGGAGCCGGTACGATTTCGAGAAGAGGCATTATATTCGGTGGATTGAAAGGATGCACAACAAGCAAGCGAGATTTGTCCTGCATCTTGGCTTGCTGAATAGAAGCAGCAATTCCAGAAGTGCTTGTCCAGAAATGCGCAGAAGACGGGGCTACTGCTTCGATCCGGGCCCAGGTAGTTTGTTTCCAGTCAACATTTTCCGGTCCTTGCTCCTGGACAATGGTCGCCGACGCACATGCGCTTTCTAGGGTCGAGTGAATTCGCAGACGGCCAAAAGAGACAAGAGACGCTACCAATGACGTTGATGGTTGAGATTCAGGACTTGACCTAGGGTCGGTATTTGTTGATGGCAGCTCGCTCAAGTAGATCGGTAGCGTCTTATGGATATATTCCTCGAAATCCGGTCTGGTGTCGAAGACATCAACTATGTTGCTCTCACGGGAGAGATGAAGCGCTACCATGGATATGCCGATGGTTCCCAGACCGATCAAGGCTATCCGCTGTGAGCTGTACGCTGACATGTTGATGGTGCCAAGGATATGAATGACCCTGTTGGAGCCGTGGATTTGCGTTTAGATGGTTGTGTAGAGAGCCAATGGTATCAACTGGACAAGTTGTATGACAGTCTGGGGTTTATGTTTATCGGAGCAGCAGTGGCCCTCAATTGCGGGGTGCCAGAGATAACTTGCCCCGCCATTGTAGTTCTTAAGAACTATTACTACTACTAGCAAATCAATGAGTCGTCTAGTATTGGGTCGGGGACCTGGAGCCGAGGCACCGCACCTGATTTTCGGACCACCGATACTCTACATCTTAGAGTACATAATCTTGACTTCGTTCAAATGAATCCATTTTCAAATAGTTCTTGAAGATTCATGTATGCGAGGTTAGTAAGTAGGTTAGTCTCTACGTCGACGTCATATGAGGTTGCCAGTTTGAAGGTACTCTGTCGCAGCCATTCACAGGAGGCCGGCACGACTACTGTGCAGATGATTCTGATGGTGAAAATAAAGTGTCTCGACACATCCTTGGTAAGATTTTTGGAAAGTCAAAAATACATACAGAGCTCTTTCATGTGTATCGTCTCTTCTACACATTATTTCTTGAACTTACAGACTGCGGAGGATTCCTACCGGCGCTAAACCGAAAACGGTTATAGCTAGCTAGCTCCGCGCAACGCGAGATTCGAAAGAGCAACACGCGCCATCTTCCAGGCAATCAATTAAAGCTCCTGCGCTCTCTCACTCAATCATCTCGAACCCAAATTTCCACTATAGTAGCTGGCTATCTATTCGGCAACGGGCACAATGAGTGAAGGCGACTGTAATTATCACCCTTTCGCACTCCATTGTCCTCATATTCCATGTTGCGAGTCGGCTGACTGAATTGGCCTCATTTAGGGACCTGCGACGCCAACGACGCCGTCCATCTGACCATCGTCCAACCCGGCGAGACGAAAGTCAAAACGATTTCCAGCTTTCACCCTCAGTTCACATATCCCATCTTTGGCGACGAGGAGCAAATATTCGGCTACAAGGGGTTGATCATCCGCTTGCGGTTTGCAGCCCATGACCTCCGCCCAAATATCAATATCTCTTACGATGAGAAGTTCAAGCCCGTTGGCGATATTGCCGCTGTCGACCTGCTGAAAACATTGAAACCATGGGTTCCTGAAGGTTGGCCGCTGTCTATTTAGATAAGGGTGATCTGTGTGTCACTTTAACTAACTTGGGCGCATAATTGCAGAGGCCTTCGGTTTACTTCCCGACTATGAAAAGGCTGTCCAGGAGGACGAAGATGCAAAGGACTTCGTACCACCTGGCAAGCTTGTTCACAGCTATGTCACTCGAGACAGAAATTACGAAATCTGGGCCGGCTCTCTCGCTGATCCTCAAGTTCGACGACTACTGGACCGCGCGCAAATTTTTGTATCGCTGTTCATCGAAGCCGGTACACCCTTGGTCACGGATGATCCTGAATGGACACTTGAGAGATGGACAGTCTACTTTGTGTATGCTATCATCCCGTCCTATGTTTTCCCCTAGCTAACGAAGTGGAAGCTATGAGAAAGTGAAACCGCCCACGCCAACAGCCTCCCAGTATTCCATTGTCGGATATGCGACCACTTATCGCTGGTGGTTCTACCAGCGAGACACTACACAGGGTCGCACCGTCGTGAACGATCCATTCCCAGCACCCGAGATCAGACCTGCTCAGCTGCCGGCTCGGCTGCGAATCGCTCAATTCTTGGTTCTGCCTCCTCACCAAGGCTCGGGACATGGGACTCATCTCTACACCACCATCCACGCCGCATGCTTCAAGGACCCAACAATCACGGAGTTGACTGTCGAAGACCCAAACGAGGCTTTCGATGCCCTCCGCGACACTGCCGACTACCACATCTTGTTGCCGGAGTTCCTCGGGCACAAGGTAGACATCAATCCCAACCCTTATGGAGAGCTCCCCAAGAAGCAGCGCCCTCGGCGCGTCCCAACGTCGGCACTGATCCCTACGAAGTTGTTGCATGACATCCGTTCAAAATTCAAGATTGCCTCCACTCAATTTGCTCATATCATGGAGATGTATCTTCTGGGGCAAATACCTGCCAAGAATCGTCTAGCCGGGGGAGCCAATATGTCCCGACTACTAATCAAGAAGCACAATGCCGAGGATCCCAACGACCGCCGATACTACTGGTGGCGCATGCTCACTAAGCAACGTCTCTACAAACGCCATCGGGATCTACTCATCCAACTGGACTCGAGCGAGCGCGTCGAGAAGCTGGAGGAGACTGTGACGAACGTCGAGGAGGGCTACGATGCTCTTCTCAAGGCCTTCAACGCCCGCGAGGAAGCACTGAAGGCTAAAGAAGAGGAGTCCGGTGTGCTTGCAACCCCAGAGTCGACCGCTGTCCTAGGCGAGGCAAGCAGCAGAGATCAGCGGGTAAAGCGGAAGCTCACGGTGGAAGATGAAGAAGATGAAGCCGAGAACGAAGAAGCAGCCAAGCGGACAAAGGTGTGAGCGATGCGTCTAATGTTTCTATATGCATGCCGTTCACCCACCATTTCATTGTAATATTAAACATTATGAAATACCAAAACCACCCTTTTGCCATGATCCATAACCATATCCTGAACTCCCACGCTCCACGATTAGTATTATTACACATGAAGCCATAGTCCCTCATGAATGATAGCTGGGCGGCGGCGACCCCATACTATCCAGGGTATCTATTGTCCCCGACAACGACTTACAATCCACGCTCTTCAAGCTACTCGTCCCCGTCGACAAAGTAACCGTCGCCAACCCGACCGTCGACGACGCCTCCGTATCCGACTCCTCTCCACTTCCACCCTTCCCATTCACACCCACATCCACATCATAACCATCCACTTCCTGATCCACTGCCACCTTAGCCCGCGGCGGTGCACTTTCCCTCACCAACTCTCCCACATACTCCAACGCCTGTCTGAAACCATGTATCTCCGCCTGCATAGTAACAGGAAGAGGAGCATCCGCCACAGCAAACACACCCTCACCCTCATCACCAGACAACCTTCCCATCTCCACATCCCTTTCCCGCACACGAACAGACCCCATCACAACCGCCCCATCATCATAGCTAAACCCCCGATCCTGGCACTGATACTGATAGTAAGAGGTCTTACCCTCCCACCATTGCTTCCATCGATGTCTCCTCGCAGCGGCTTTGTACGCCCTCCGAGCTTTCCGTTCCTCGCGCTGAGCGGCCCGGTCTACTCGGCATCGCTGGCAGCGCATTGTGTTGCTGCCGATTCGGTATGCCAGAGCGAAAAGCGCAATGATGCATATGAGGACGCTCAGGTTGATGAAGTAGTCGCGGAGAGTGAGGGCCGAGAGCTTTGCCAGGAGGGAGGCGAGCCACTCAAATTTGAGGAGGGAGTGGATGTGGTCATTGTGATTGGGGTTATCGTTGTTGGTGGTCTTCATGATGTGGGTGTCTATAAGGGTTGTTTAGAATGTGGGATATGTAGATAGTAGTGAGTGGGGGACCAACTGGCTGCTGTTGAGATTGTAGTGGATGATGGTGATGGTAGAGGAATGGGTGCACCGGCTGCCAGGCGGGTGAAGTTGGTGGTGGTGGTGAGACATATTAGTGTTAACTTTGTTAGTAGCCATTGCATGGTGGTGGTTGTGTGGGAGGTGCTACATGGACGTGGGAAGAGAGACATGGGATGGAGGGTATTATAGGTTCATATAGTTGGTGCAGTTGGGGTGGATTGTAGAGAGTAAGACAGTGGTCATGTAGTAATAGACCGGTAAATAGATACAAACGATGTTGTATTCATGAGCAAACTACCTAGGACAGAGAGTGAGAGTCATACGGGCTTTAGGACAGAGTTAAATGAATGGACATCCTTGGCCCTCGGGCCTCCTCTCCCAAGACCGGAGACAGACGGAGTTTACTAAAGAACCCTGTCTCATTAATTAGTGAGTATTATAGCCAGACACTAACCACAGTCACAACTCTAAAGTAGGGCATGTTACTTCGCTCTTACTGGTGCCAATCCAGATAAGCAGCAGCGCCGGGCGGATCTCGGCCCCATGTTTATCCGGCACTCTCCGTCGTTGTGAGCACCGCTGCTGGGAAGCTCGCGGGGAGCTTTCTTGGATTCATATTTACTCTGACGTCGTCAAGAAGGCTTCTATTTCCCTTTGAACTCCCTCTTCCCTTTTGAGAGAATACGGCGACTCTATTAGAGTCTTTTCATACTTTGCTTTTCACCTCTCACGGAGTTGACTCCATCTGTGTTTCGATCCGCCCACAACGTCGATCCGTCCATATTGATCACAAGATCGCAAGATGGTAATCATCTTTGAAGCCTACCGAAATCCATCATATCTGCTGCGGTTACTGACTCTCCGATGAACAGTTACCTCTCGGTCTCCTGACGGCCGCGCAAGGCCACCCCATGCTCGTGGAACTCAAGAACGGCGAAACCCTCAACGGACACCTTGCCAATTGCGACAACTGGATGAACTTGATACTCAAGGAAGTTGTTCAGACGAGCCCCGAAGGTGATCGCTTCTTCCGGCTACCGGAGGTCTACGTCAGAGGAAACAATGTGAGTCGCTTGCCTGCATCCACCTCGGATCGCATTCAATCCAACCCCTCTGTTCCTCCCTCTAATCGCTTATAGATTAAATACCTGCGAATCCCCGAAGAAATCATAGAGATGGTGAAGGAGCAACAGGCGAACCAATCGCAAAATCGCAACCGCGGGCCGCGTGAGGGTGGTCGGGGTGACCGAGGTCGTGGTGGAGGCCGGGGTCGTGGACGTGGCCGCGGCCGTGGTGGCAGAGACGCTTGAAGTGTTATTGGTTTTCTATCTACGAAAGAATGAGAGAGATTATGAGCGATACCCCGGGGGGCAAGGTTTAGTAGGGATTGAGTTCGCTAGGAAATGTCCGTTTTGACGGGTTAGTCGAGCATGGCCTTGGCGTATCTGGTTGTATTTGTCAATGGGAAAACATGCCACCTAGGCGTCCTTCTTTCTTCCAATATAATTGTAGTGTACGGATTACAAAAAAAAGTCAAAATTCGTTGAGCCTTGTCCGTGGGCTTCGTCTCTGTAACTTTGCATGCATAGCGTCACGGTCACGTGCAGATATAGAGCTTCTTTCGGAGACCGACCAAGTTGTAGAGAATCTTCCGTCATTGCAAGGGCTCGAGATGCCGCGAACGACCCTGGTACTCGATGGACTGTGGTATTGCCTTTGTCCGTCGTTTAACGCTGCGACCTTCAATCGAGCTACACCTTCCTTTACAGCAGGGAGACGCATCCCTAAACATAATCGCATAACCGCTCTACGAAGCTCAATCTCGGATTCTCCGCGAAGATGCCTCACAAACCTTACCCCACGACCGACGGACACAACCATTGAAATTGTCGAAGACAATAGCCACAATACTACGAATTCTTCATCACCCTCCGATCAACAACCCTTCGATCCTGACGATGCAGGCGCGCAAGACAATGTACGCCCAGGGGACCTTTTATCGCCAATGGAGCGATTGACCAAGCCGCCACCGGGCGTACCCAAGTATTTCAAACACCTACCTTCGCAACGTCTAGAAAATAGGCTACAGGAGCGAGTAGCTCGATATCCAAGAGTTCTAAGCGCAACGCAAATCCTGCGTGTTCTAATCCGGGACCGCCATGTCCGCCCGGAGATGCGACATTACCGGGGGTTGATTCTTGCCAATTCGGATCCCGAACGTGGGTCGCCACAGGCTGTTCGCGCATTGCTAAAGGAGATGGAGGAGAATGGGATACCGGCTGATTCGGGGACACTTCATGCAGCGCTACAGGTATGATCTTCGAGTCTGGGAACGAGGCACTTGCTGACGTACTCGCTTTTACTCTCAGGTCCTTGCCGTCCATCCGGATTACCTCCTACGTCAGGAGATTGTGCGCACACTTCGAGACCGATGGCTTCCGTTGAGCCCCGCCGGATGGCACTTTGTGGTCGCTGGGTTGATTCGAGAGCACCAGTTCGAGCTGGCGTTGGATCATGTCGAGCAGATGGAGAGGAAGGGTATAGTCGTTGAGAGTTGGCTGCATAGCCTACTTATATATTACCTTTGCGATTTCGGAGAGTTTGATGAGGTGGTCCGGCTGATGCGCTCACGGACAAGCCAGGGTCTAGACATGAGCTCGGAATTGTGGTTGTACGTGCTGGAGGTGGCGAGCGCTGCTCTGCACTACGATACTACTCGGTACATCTGGAGACAGATGGTGGAGCTGAGATATCTTCATCCTGGTTATCCGCTGTGCAGCAATGTCCTTAGTGTGGCGGCGCGCGCTGGAGATACCGAGCTGGCGGCATCGGTGATCCGCTTCCTCGTCGAGGTCAATGTGCAGCCCCAACTGGATGACTACGAGAAAATGGTGGAGGCTCATGCTGTGTCGGGATCCTTGTATTCTGCATTTGAGGTGCTGTGTAAGATGCATATGGCGGACATTGTGGTTGAGCACCGCTCCACGCGTGCCATTCTTACGCATCTGCTGCAGAGTAGGACTACCCCACGTGGCGCATGGACTATGCTCAAGCAATTGAAGGCCACCAAACTGACAGTGCCGCTTGGCTGCGCCAAAGTGGTGTTGGAGATGTGCGAGCACGAAGCCCTCGATAACCCGTCGGTGGTGTACGAGGGAATCGCGTTCTACAAAGAACTATATGCGCTCTGTCCAGACAAGGCCGACGTTTCCGTCTACAACATTCTCCTTGGGATGTGTCGACGGGCGCGCAATACCGAGGCGGGCATGTTCATCGCGAAAGAGATGGCATCGCTCGGCGTGATCCCGGACCAAGGAACATTTGAGCATCTCATCGTCATGTGTCTGGAAGCAGGCAATTTCGAGTCCGGGTACATGTACCTGCAAGATCTGCTGGGACGGGGGATCCGCCCCGGCGAGGAGACACGAGCTGCCATTCGGGAGCTCTGTTCTCCATCAGAAGATCCATTTGCATCACGCCTCAGGCATCATCCGCAGATCCAGGATGGGTCAGTGGGATGCCTTGTGGACGAGATCAGTAATACTCACGAGCCGCCGGATTCGACGGAGCAGCAGGAAGAGGAGGCGGACGGGAAAGAGGAGTCGTTTCATCGCTCGGGACAGACACCGACCCAGGCAGAGGTGGAACGGCAGGCGTTGCATAAACTCCGACGGGCCGCAGCCAAGGAGAGACGCAAGCGAAAGAGACGACTAGCAGCCATCGCACAGGGGCAAGAAGAGGAAGGCTGGTTGGACTATGAGCCAGGGGGGCTTATTCCTGAGGACCAGCTCGATGCGAAGAGTAACAATTGAGCTGGGGGATAGAAATGGGCAGCTGGAAAGGGGGTGGTGTGTATCCTCCCTTCGTGTATACTATTACTGTATCTAGTGTAGAATCTTGGCCCCTATGCCAACAACCTAAGCGATGTATTTAATTTCACAAGACACAAGCTGACAGGCATCAATTGAGCTACCTGTCAGGAGAAAGACTTGTCCGTGATTACTTGTCAGACTGATGGCCGTGCCACTATGTAGTAATTAAATCAACACAAACGTGCACTGTTTCTGCCCGGAACATTCGGAGAAAAAGGAATGGAGTGGGTGGGGGGAGGGACAAGCAGCAGCCGAGGCCAGGAAGGATTCAAGCCACAGGAACCATCATGCAGCCAGCAGAGAGTCGGGGGATAAGAATCAACCCGCAAAACTTAGATACTGCGTACTAACCCCTGCTCTATGTATAGTTAGTTTAGATTTTTAGTTCTTGGTTAGTGTGGACTAGGAACCCCCATCTGCGACACGCGGGCGCAACATAATGGAACCATACCAGGAACCTCAAACCGCCGTTAGAATTCAATGCCCGGATTTTCAGCCCTGACCAGCGGTTTGAACTGGAGAGAAAAACCGGCATGGCTGGTTTTTGTCCCACTTGTCGGAGAAATTTGAGGGTTTAATTTGTTTTGTGTGGGATATCGCCGAGGGAAGGTTCAGGTTACTCCTGAACTAGATTAACTGTTGGTTCCTGGTTTGTTTGCTGTTGTACTGTGGGAGCCTGGGAGGGTTTCTATTCTTATCCGGGCTGCATGAGATTGGGATCGACTTGCATGGACCCTAGGAATTAACAGTACAGTAGTTTAGGATGTAAGGGAATGGGATGTATGCATGAGTTGTCAATTGATTCCATCGTAGAAGTTCTTTTTGATCATCGGCCAGCACAGACAGCTTTTCTTTTCTAATCTTCGATCTTCCTCGTGTAACCATGCAAACCCACGACAAACCTAGTTAAACTCTTCATAACTTTTTTTGGTCAAAGGGATAGTCATATGGAGAACAAGAGACACACCAACACACACCGATCCTTTTTTAGTTCAAGGGATCGTCGCAGTTGGGCCAATGCTGGTTCGTTTCACCCGCAGCTCCACTTCTTCTTCCTCTCTCACTCCTCTTCTCTCTCTCTTACTCTCTGTTGGGGTCGAAATTAGAAGCAGTTCGGAGTTGCGCTTGTTTCTGGTTCCCCTCGCCACCTGCACATCATCCCCGGCTTATTATAACTATTCGCCTCTGTCCTTCCCTCTCTCTCGCTACGATCTACTATCTATCTACTATCTACTTTCCTCCCTTTTTATACAAAAGTATTGTATCCTTCATATCACCTATTGATAATACTTAATTTCCTCCCTCTTATCTACTATCTCAAGTACCAACTATCGTTCCACCCTCCAACGGTAGACATACATACATACACATCCTCCATTCGCCACTCGGATACTCTACATCAAAACATATTATTACCTTCACCAACCAAACAAAGGAAATATACTCTATCAACATGCAGCTCCTCAACTACCTCCCCGTCGCTCTCACCACCCTCGGCCTCACAGCCTCGGCTTCTCCTCTCCGCCGTGCCGACAGCCCAGCCCTAACCTGGCACGTCTCCAACTTCACCACCGGCTGCTCCCCGGCTGCCTGCACCTACAGCTTCAACATCTACGGCGTCGCCACGGCCAACACCCCCGGATTCAACGCCACCTGCACTGGTAACTCCAACAACACTGCCCTGACTGCTTGTGGTGGCAACCCTCAGGTCCAGTCCCGCATCCAGCCCGCTACCTACCCGGAATGGAACATCCGAGTCGAGCATGCCTGGACTCTGCCCGGCGACATGGAATTCTATGCTTATGGCGAGACCAATGTTACCTCGCCGACACCGAAGTTCACCATTCCTGTCACGGAGGAATATGGTGTTGCTTAAATGCGTCTATAGTGGAATTGGTGGAAAAGGGGTTTGGAAAGCTATAATGACTTGAGGTCATGAAATGGGGTATACTACAGTATAGATGAAGGGTGGAATGAGGGCAAAATACTGGAAATATTTGCGTTTAAGTTTATGTATCATATTGATATGGATTTGATGGGCTGGTTCTTGATGACTGTTTACATTTTGGTTTTCTTTGGGTTCATGATGAATAGGGTTGAGGATCTATAATGTCTGGTTACAGGATGGTCTGGTCATGATGACTGATTGATTGATCTGGGAAAATATATCAATTAGTTTAGTCGGAATCTACAAATATACAAATATACCAACACCAACATACATCACAAGTTTATGTTCCTTGTTACAAGATACTAGTTGTAGTCTGGGAGATAGGATTGATGGGGTTGGAATGTGTCCCGGTGACATCATCCCGACCCTTGCAAATCAATGAATGGCCTTCTTACAATGTTTTCCCCCGACAAGCTTGATCATGTAGCAGCTGCACTGCCTCTCTCCCCTGTCAATCACCCTCATGCTTGGCCTATCTCATCCTATGACAATTACATGGAATATATAACCTTGCACAGGTCTTTCCAGTTTAGCTGGACCATCCATCTCCAAGAATCGCCAGGTTGACCCGTGCGTCATTCGCCTGGCCACCCTGTCTCCGCCACGATCCCCTCACGATTCAGGTCTGTCTTTCTCCCCCTTGCATGTTCCTGAATATCCCCTTATCGGCCTGAGTAGAAATTCCACGTCGCTTGATCTTATGGTAAGCACTACGATTCTTCAGCAACTTCCTATTTTCATTAGTAGCTGACCATGAAATGACTGGAGCTACGTAGGCGTCGATCCTCCGGCAAATCGTTGCCGGCCCCCGGTTACAACATCCTGAAGCTGGTCTAGACTTGTGCTATGTGACTGATAACAGTAAGCCACCAACCCTATCATTCTTCCCAACTACTACTGACTCATTACCTGCTGTGCGCCTACAGTCATCGCAACCTCCGGTCCCTCTTCCAACTACCCGCAACGCGCCTACAGAAACCCCCTGGACGAGCTCGTCAAGTTCCTCGACTCGAAACATGACTCCGACTGGTGTATCTGGGAGTTTCGCGCTGAAGGCACCGGATATCCCGACTCAGAGGTCTACAACCGCATCCATCATTACCCATGGCCCGATCACCATCCGCCCCCGTTTGCGCTCATTCCCGCCATGACGGGCAGTATGCGCAACTGGATCCATCGGCTCGATGAGCCTGACACAAAAGATGAGAAAGCTAAGAAGAAAGACAGAGTTGCTGTCGTTCATTGCAAGGCCGGAAAAGGCCGTAGTGGCACTGTAGCCTGCAGCTACCTGATTAGCCAGGAAGGGTGGAAGGCAGACGATGCACTGCAGCGATTTACCGAGCGGCGAATGCGTGTCGGGTTCGGGGCTGGGGTGAGCATCCCAAGTCAGCTGCGGTGGGTGGGATACGTGGATAAATGGACGAACCAGATGGGAAAGAAGTATATCGAGCGGCCGGTGGAGATCCTCGAGGTGCATGTGTGGGGACTGAGAGATGGAGTCAAGGTCGCGGTAGAGGGATTTGAGGACCAGGGGAAGAAGATCAAGAAGTATCATCTCTTCCATCGGAGTGAACGTACGGTAGTCGATGATGGGAAATCGAAGACGATGCCCTTAGACCCAGTCCCAAACGGACATGCCGATAACAACAACAAGAAACAACCCCAATCCGCTGCGACATTTCCACCCAGAACAGAAGACAGCCCTCACCCATCCACCGATTCACCCGCCAGAACAGACACTCCCCCAAAACACGTCTCCGCCATCGTCTTCCGTCCCAAGTCCCCCATCAGCGTCCCCACCTCCGACGTGAACATCGACTTCGAACGACGCAGCAAGGCCGCCTACACCGGCTGGGCCATGGTAACGTCCATCGCGCACGTCTGGTTCAACGCCTACTTCGAAGGCGGCGACCAGCACGACTCAGGCGTCTTCGAAGCCGAATGGGAGGCCCTCGACGGCATCAAAGGCACAACACGCAAGGGCGTCAAAGCCTTAGACCGACTGAAAGTCGTCTGGCGATACGCCAACCAACCAGGCACCTCCCACCCCGACACAGGAAGACCCATTTCCGAGCCCAAGCCCGGTGAACCAATTCCCGAAACTCAGCCACCGGACTGGCACATTCATGGCACTGGCTCCAACTCTGGTACTGACACCCCACGAGACCAGGAAGACGAGAACACACCTCCCCCACCTCCTTCTAAAGAGCTAGAAGCCGACAAGGACCTCGAATCAGAACAAGACAGCAGCTCAACCAAACATAAACATAAAGACAAACATACTACTAACGAGCACGAGCACGACCACCCCCTCCTCTCAGAACTCAGCACCGCTGCCGCCTCCGCCGTGTCTTCAATACCAGGAATAGGCAAGCAGCTAGGTCTGCGCAAGCAAACCGACGAAAGCAAAGACGTTAGTCTTGCGGGCAGTAGCGAGGACGAGTCGGGGAGAAGTTCAGCTGCGCCTTCGCAGGCGAAGAAAGATACAAAGAAAGAGTGGTCGTCTGTTGACGAGGGTAAATAGCACAGTTACTCTTCTTGGGGGAGATTGGCACAATGTACATGAAGCAACCCGCTGATCTGTATTCACTGTTATATGTATAGGAGGGAGAGTTGACTGGATAGGATCGGTCTGAGTTAAGACACTTTGTATATACTACATAGTACACGCACGATACAGGTATACGAATACGAATGTACTGACAGCGAATGACCAGGTAATTTCCCCAATGGGTGCGTGTATCTGCGTGCTTGATAATGTGTAGGTTTTGGTGCTAAGAACCCCTACGAGTATATAGTTTTATGGAGAAATTGGACATGATAAACAATAATTACCGATAACGAAACGATGCAAATTTAGATAGACTAAGGAAAAGAAAGGGCTCAAGCATATGACCATACATATCGAGGTTATCATATCATATCACACCATACTAGCATATCTAACAGTAGATTATCTACACACACAATGCTTTGCTTTGAACTTGCTAGTAAAAGAAACGGGAAAAAAAAAAAAATGAATAAAATAAAATAAAAGGAAGTGAAGTCCCGCAAACCTCATTTCAACTCCTAATCTCCTCAATACAAACACACATACAACTCCACAGAATATGCCAAACATGCAAATGTGTCAACAGAGTTAATTCAATCCTACAGCGGCACGAACCCCTCCATCCGCTGCCTCGATTCCCGTTCTTCACGCTGTAACCGATCATTCTTCTTCCGCTCGTATACGGCCCGCACCACACGCTTCACTTGATCCTCACCCTGGGCGAAGTTCGCCTTCGCAAGACCGACCACTGAGTCGATTTGTTCCGGCGTGTAGACGAAGTTCCATGTGGAGAGGAAGTCGTCGACGTCTGGGTTGATGGTGCCCGGGTATGGAGTCAGAGGCTTAGCCGGGTCGGAGACGCGGGCTTTGGAAGTATTTTCGGATTTGCGGGCGGGAGTGCGGGACTTGTGAAGGGAGGAGCTGGTGGGCAGCTCTGGGGCGGATGGGTTGGGAAGTAAGGGGAAGTAGACGACGGCGATGCCTGCGTCTGGGCGCATGAGGTGGAAGTCGGATTCGGAGTGATCGGTGTCTTGTGGGTGGAAGAGGCGCTTGGATGGTGGGGGTTCTTGGCCCGACACCATTTCTTGGGTGGTGCCTACCCAGATGTTGCAGTAGTCGAGGTCGGTGGAGGTGGAGGGATGGTTTTTCTTTTTGTTTTGTGCACTTGTGGGTGGGGTGGTGGTTGTGTTGTTTGAGGTAGTATTTTGGTTGGTGGTAGGGCTGTTGGGTTTGCTCTTGTCCTGGGCTTCGGCCATCTTGTTGGCTAGCTCTTTCTGGGAGATGTTCTGGGCCTGACGGAGCGTTTCTTCGGTTTGTTTGAGTTGCTCGTCTTCCCTGGGCCAGCCGGCGCCTATTGGCCAGCCCTTAACACCTCGTTGTCGAGCATATCCGTCTACAACGGAGAGCCAGTTCTCTTGTTTGATATCGGCTGATGCGTCGAAGGCGATGATGACGTCGACGTCTCTGCCAGGTCTGAGGAGCGGGTAGATGGGGAGGTTGTTGCTCATGCCTGCGTCCATGAGCCGGAGATGACGGCTTCGGAAGATGGACTCTGGACAGGACGGTGGCAGCTGATCTTTCATGCCGAGTACGTAGTTTGGTATGGTGGCTGGGTCAATCGGGTGAACTCGTACTAGATCCTTCGTCTTGCCTTGGATGAGGGAGTCTATGCCGCTGAGGCCTGTGATGCCTTTGATGACGGGCCGTATCTCCTTGTAGTAATGAGACAGTGTAGCACAGAAAGCACTTCCCCAGACACCCATCAATGCGGGAACGCGCAGCTCAGGGATGGGGGAGATCTCTTCAGGTTTAACATTGACTCCACCGTGGAAGTGTCTTCCTAGCGCCCATGTCGGTATTCCTGCACTGAGCTCCTCGCAGAAGAATTCGTAGGGTGTAAACTCGAACCACTGAAACCATGCCTCGCTTTTCGACTCTTTAATCAAATCTTCTGGCTTCTCTCGTTTTTCGGGGTTCTCTTGGTTCTCGAGCACAGGAATCTCATGGCGAACAGCCGTATAGATGGGAAGTGGATGAGCTCCGGAAGCGAGGTTGTATCTCTGATTCGATAGCTTCAGATCCCTATCACAGACGCCTAATTCTCCCTTGGGCACCAGCAATCGCGCAGCCAAGAGCATGCCGTATATATCCACCAAGCCAAAATCGGCACCGGGATCACCTTTCAGCTTCTCGACCAAGCCGCTGAGAAGATACTTGTTTGTGGGAGCATTGGTGAGTAGCTTGAGGGCTGCCGGTGGAAAGGCCAAATGGACTCCCAGTCTGTTTTTCAGATGGTCGACCATTTTGTTGAAATTGCGCCCCGTGATGGACGAGTGGTAGAGCGTCTGCAGCCAGCAACTGCCACTTACGCCAGCAGTATAGGTAACACAATCCCATAGGCCAGCTTCTTGAGTCGCGAGGTACGAGCCGGTGCCAGCAACAAGCGCACGCAGACCGCCACCCGAGCCGCACATGGCAATGATGGGAACATCGTCCGGATGTATTTCATCTTCAGGGATGTCCAGATAAGAGGCCAGCGCCGCGGTTGCGTATTTTTGCCGCTTCTGTCTGTACGCCAATTCTTCGTTGCAGAGTGTATCCCCAACTCGAACTTTGGCCTTGCGGAGGATCTCTGGGTTGATGTCTGGGTCGTGAGCTTCGTGCCAGATATCGTCTGCAAGGGAGCCAGGCGCCATGGAGAGCTCGCGCTGGAGCTTCTGCACCGACAGTGGAAGCAATCGGGTCCAGTCCGGAATGATGTAGTTTTTGATGTTGTCGAGCTCAATCCAGTCGGGAGTGCCCACAGCCTGCTTCACCCCCTCGAACTTTTGCAGCACATTCGTCCATATCGAGCCTGCATCATGGTGCGGGTCTTCCTTGGAGCCATGACCCAACGGGTTCCAGTCGGAGCTTCCGGATGATTTATCCGACCGTTTATCAGAGCCCGGGTTTGAGCTTGTTGAGAAGAAGCCTTTTGGGCCGGTCTGCAGCAGCAATTGCTTATTTGACTGAGTTCGGCCACTCGTAGTATAGAGGAGACCGCCGCCTAAGGCAATCAAGAGGGTAGGAGGAACAGTCCAGCGTAAACGCAGTGCCTGGGCAGCCCCCATGTTGCAATGGGTACCGCGTAGGATTGGGGAAGTGGCGGGAAGCAACATGCAAGTGATGAAGCCATGGCGGCCAGGCCACGACGATCGTGGCCGGACTCCATTCTTAAAGCGAAGCTGGAGCTGGAAGACGCGCCGGGAATCTGCCGGAAACATGACGACATGTCACGTGGGGCGCATCCAGGAAATCCTCGGCGCCGCAGACGGGCCGAACTTGCTGGATGGGGATTAGCGCCCCTCTTCTGTCCGGGGGAGATTGAAGGGCCACAAGCTTGCTTCTTGAGCTCCTCTCTCTCGCCTACTAGTATGCTTGCTTCATGAGGCCAGGTGCCTCATCGGCCAGCTGTTCTTTTTGCTGTCCTTCCCCTCTTTCTTCTCTTCTCTTGCCTGACCGCCAGGGTCAAAGACATGACATCATCTCCTTCCGTCGCGAGTGTCTGATTCCGGTTACGAATCCCTGATTGCCTGACACACTAGTGGGACCTGCGCCGATCGAGGTCGAATCCTCACAGCCATGGTTGCTCCCAGGAACGCCGCCTACGCGGAGGAGAGCGCGGAGGTCGAGGTGCTATACGCCAACCTCGAGAAGCTCAAACTCCTGACGAAGAAGATTCAAGGCTCTTTGAATCGCTTGGAAACCGGGGGCAATGTGGTGAAGCATGCGATCGGGCCCATCTACAGCAATACCCAATCGCTACAGATCACCAACAGCAACATAGATAAGGTCAATGAAGCCATTGAACGCCTCCGCCAGCCTCTGGATGCCAAGGGCAAGGAAGAAGGAATTATACGATCAAGGTATGCAGCATCTTCGCGGGTTCGGGCTAATTCAGGGAATGTTTGGCTGACATCCGTTCAGCCCCCAGACCGTCGGTTTGTCGCAATACCTCTCTGCTGTGAAGCGCGTGGAAAAGGCCTTGGTCGACCTCAACTCAACCAATTTACGATCGAACCAAAAAGCTATTTCCGAATTTACTTCTTTGCTGGTGCTTGGAAACTCCCAGCTCCAGGACATGCTCCGCGGCACACTGAGCGACTACGTTAATCCGATCGAACCATTACACTACTTAACTAAAGGTCGGTGTCTAGTACACAATTCTTACTAAAACATAGATACTAATGATTTGCGCCTCGCTATAGAACTCTCATTCCCCTCGCTACCTGATGAGACTGTCGCGGAGTTGGGCCCGGTATGTTCGGCTATCGGCTCTGCAGCGAGCTATGGGCCGCAACGGGGTGATGGCGGAAACCCCGCTCTCAAAATTTACGCCGATATTCGCGGACCATATATCACATCGAGCTTGCAGAACCTGGCCATAGCATCTCTCAATACTGTCAAGCGACGGGCTGCCGACGGTCCCTACAGGCAAGGCACCAACGGTATCGGGATCTATTCCAACGCTTTAGAAAGCTTTATATATGCAGAACATGATATTCTCGTGCGGGTCTTTACAGGTGATCAACGGGGACTGGCCTTGCAGGCAACTTGCCGCTCCGCTTTGGGCGAATATGCGCAGACCTTGCGAGAGCTCAACCAGTATATCAGGGCAAACCTCATGACGGATTGCTTTTTGGCGTTCGAAATCATCGAGATTGTGACTGCCATGTCGTACCGTGTGGAGTCGAAAACAGGGGAGCTGAAAAGCCTTTTCATCGAGGCTCTTAGGCCGGTTCGGGAGACGGCAAAATCGTCGCTTTCGGAGTTATTGGAGGAGACAAAACGCAAGGCCGCAGGGATTACCATGCTCCCGCCAGATGGCGGGTCTGTTCCCCTTGTCAATGAAGTCATGAGCTCCCTTACTACCCTGACGGGCTATTCGGGGCCGCTCGCATCGATCTTGACATCTCTGGGAGATGGAAACTGGCGGTCCACGACCAATGCAGCGCCCACGGCGCCCTTGGATGTCAGCCCGGACAGCATGACCCTTTTATCGCACTTCATACTCGATATGATCGAAGCTCTTATGATCGCCCTGGAAGCTCGAGGCCGAGCACTTCACCGCTCGAAGGCAGTCCAGGGCGTTTTCTTGTCCAACGTATTCTGTACAGTGGATCGCTCCATCCGTCAGAGTTCTGAGTTGGCCCGATACCTTGGCTCTGCCGACAGCATTGCACGAATCGACACATTCCGCAAACGGGCCACTTCGACGTATCTCGATGCATGGAAAGAAACTTCCCACTATCTTCTGGATGTGCAGTATACCTCTCGGGGCTCTGGCGGGTCAGCACGACCGGCATCTGGAGGTGTCGTCGACTCCGCCGCCATTGTTAAATCACTTTCATCTAAGGACAAGGACGCTATCAAAGACAAGTTCAAAGCTTTCAATGCTAGTTTCGATGAACTGGTGGGCCGCCACAAGGCATTGTATATGGAGCGGGAGGTGCGCGGGGTGCTGGCTCGGGAGGTCCAGGCTGTTCTCGAGCCACTCTATGCCCGATTCTGGGACCGCTATCATGAGATCGACAAGGGACGAGGCAAATATGTCAAATACGACAAAGGCAGTTTGTCGGCTCAATTGGCGGCGCTTGGATGAGGAAGGAAATCTTAGATATATACCTACCTTACCTTCTTATATTTTCTAATGTGATAATATGTGTTAAAAAAAAGGCCTCCCCCACGATTTGGGTGTCATGTGGTGATAAGCAACTCCGGCGATAACGTGACCGATAAGCGGAGACCCCGCCGCGTTCATCCACTCCACTAGAAATTTGCTGGTCATCCCGCACAACTTTCGCCTCGCCCCTCCTCCGCCTTTTCCCCTTTTCTTCTTCCCTCAATTCCTTCTATAATCCTCTCAATTCCCTACGGCCAAGATGTCTGCCAGTAACGATGTCTACCAGACCCCTCTCAACTCGCGCTACTCCAGTAAGTCTCCCGATAACACCTCGGGCGACCTTCTGCCCTCATAGTGCGATATCGGACTAACGGGACACCATTCTTCAGGCGACGAGATGAAGTATCTCTTCTCTCCCAGGAACCGTTTCTCTACCTGGAGACAGCTGTGGCTCTGGCTCGCCGAGGCCGAGAAAGGTAAACCATACTGCCCACTGTCGTGCTTTTGTCACCCCGTTTCCGTTGCCCGACTAACCCGCACAGAGCTCGGTTTGCCGATCTCCGACGAAGCCATTGAGCAGATGAAGGCCCACCTCACTATTCAGGATGACGAATTCAAGGTTGCCGCCGAGGAGGAGAAGCGCCGTAGACACGATGTCATGGCTCACGTCCACGCCTATGGTCAGGTCGCTCCTGCCGCTGCCGGAATCATCCACTGGGGCGCCACCTCCTGCTACTGCACCGACAACGCAGACTTGATCTTCCTCCGTGACGGACTCGATATCCTCATCCCCAAGCTTGCTGTCGTCATTGACAAGCTGTCTGCCTTCGCTAAGCAGTACAAGGACCTGCCCTGCCTGGGTTTCACCCACGGACAGCCCGCTCAGCTTGTTACCGTCGGAAAGCGTGCCTCCCTGTGGATCCAGGACTTGCTCATGGACCTGAAGAACCTCGAGCGGGCTCGCGATGACCTGCGCTTCCGTGGTGTCAAGGGCACCACCGGTACTCAGGCCTCTTTCCTCCAGATCTTCGAGGGCAACCATGATAAGGTTGAGCAGTTGGATGAGCTGGTCACCGAGAAGGCCGGTTTCAAGTCTGCGTACATCATTTCCGCCCAGACCTACTCCCGTAAGATTGATGTCGATGTTGGCAATGCCCTCGGCTCTTTCGGCTCTACCTGCGAGCGCATTGGCATTGACATCCGTCACTTGGCCATGCTGAAGGAGGTCGAGGAGCCTTTCGAGAAGGACCAGATTGGTAGCAGTGCTATGGTGAGGAAAAAAAATTCAAAAGGACCAATGAGAGCTACAGGAAATACTAACGTGGTTGGTCTGTGCAGGCTTACAAGCGTAACCCCATGCGGTCCGAGCGTCTGTGCTCTCTCGGAAGACACCTTCAGAACCTCCCCAAGGATGCTCTGGACACCTACTCCGCTCAGTGGTTCGAGCGCTCTCTCGTAAGTTTGCGAGATGGTTCTCGTTATCCGACTTCATTTATTAACGGCATGAACAGGATGACAGTGCTATCCGCCGTATCAGCATCCCCGAACTCTTCCTTTCGGCCGATGCCTGTCTCATCCTTCTGAGTGAGTTTTCAGCGCCTTTTCCACTCATCTCTCCCGATGCTGACAACCGTTAGACAACGTCACCTCCGGCTTTGTTGTTTACCCCGAAGTCATCAGACGCCATGTCAACGATGAGCTGCCCTTCATGGCCACGTAAGTTCCAGACGCCTCTACCCCCATTTTGAAGCTCCAGCTAACCAAGAGACCAACTATAGTGAGAACGTAAGCCTTCCGCGTCCAGAACCGTGTCTTCCAATAATACTAACCATAGCATAACAGATCATCATGGCCTGTGTGAAGAAGGGTCTGTCCCGTCAGGACGCCCACGAGGAAATCCGTACGTCGCGCGGCCCCCCAATCCAGTCCCACACTAGCTAGCCCTAACCTAACAATTTCTTGTGCTACAACAGGTGTCCTCTCCCACCAAGCCGCCGACAACGTCAAGAAGCTCGGCTTGAACAACGACCTGCTCGACCGCGTCCGTCGCACTGCTTTCTTCGCCCCCATCCTGGATGAGCTTGATGCTCTCCTTGACCCCAGCACCTTCGTCGGCCGTGCTCCCCAGCAGGTTGAGAAGTTCCTCTCCACCGAAGTGAAGGAGGCCCTCAAGCCCTACGAGGCCCAGGTCGCCAAGGCCGAGACCTCTGCCCTCTACGTATAGTTTCTTCCCGCACGCGCGCACATATAGACACGTCATGGAGTTATACCGAGCGGGTAGGCCGGACAGGAGCGAATTGGCGTTTTCTTCCTCCACAATCTCCCTACACAAAAGCGAAATCTAGTCATGCGACATGCCAGCGAAATCTGTTCCAAGTACCTTGATTTGACCAAAAACGGATGAAAACTAAAAGGCCGTTTTAGCAGATTCCAGCAGTCTAAAAGACCATGTGTATAGATAATATAATTGATGAAATGATACGAGATGTTAATAATGCATGTTGAATAAATGTTCTCCTTGTTGGTCTCTATGTTTACAGTTTAAGTGACGTTACACGATGTACCTGTCTAGCGGAGAGGTACATACTACATACCCATTGTACTTTCCGTCCCCTTATCGGAAGCCTAGAACGCAGTGGCAGGGAAGTTGGTGCTGCAGCCCCGACGGCCCAACCAGTCGGCTGTGGTAAAACAGAGTTTTGGCAGAACTCAAAACTGTGGGGAGAACGTTTTACTGCAACATTGTATCTACAGGTCCCCAGGCTTTATTCAAAGACACGGTATGCGAAATAAACTACTACTAAGTTCATGTGTGAATCTTTCCGGTTGCGGGTATCTGTGTTCTATAAATTCAGTGTAATGTATTGTGACTGGTTCAATCGAGAAAACATAGACACAGTAGTAGATGATGATGATGATGATGATAAATGTCAATAACGCCTTGGCCATTTAAATACCAGACAAACAAGTGTGATGTGTGGATGAAGCTGCGAGGTTACATGATGAAACAAGATAGAAAGAAGAAAAATGCAGTGAAATAGATATGAGGGTGCGCGATGTAATCAGGTAGAGCGAAAGAAAAAAGAAAAAGAAAAAAAGAAAAAAAAAAAAAAAAGCGAAGAGAAAGAAGGAGGAGAAGAAAGTGAAGAAAAAGTAGTAAAAGAAAACACCTGTCCCATCCATCAAAAGCAATCTGGCTCGGAAATAATACTTCTCATGAGACGTCAAGGTTTGACAGATAAGACAATACAGGACAAGAAAAGCAGCGAAATATAGACACGCTGTCGGTCACTGTTGAGATGAGGCAACATGTATTTCAGAATACCTGAGGGTGATTTGGGTTAAATAGAGCGCACGTTTTAGGGACATCCAATACCGTAGTTAGTTTCGAGGGAACCTTGAAACGGATGGCACAGCACCACTCCGTCATCAATTCAGAGCATAGCCAGCCAGTTGATAACCTAAGGGGCTGTTACTGAAAGTACTTGGTGGCAAAATATGCAGAGCGTCACTCACCATCATCGCTTGTATCAAAGCTACCTTCTCTCCGTAGTGCTTACCATCCCAACTATCAGCTTGAAGGGTCGCATTGTACATTCCCAGAGCATCCAAGCCTCTGTTGCGGGCTTCTTGGGCGGTGTCTTGTGAATACTGCCAGCTGGATGCGTGGATGTTGTCCCTCGAGTCCTTTTGAAGCCCAGGAGCTGTCGGACCTACCCAGAGAAAAGGGGTGTTCCGTCCACTGGCCTGAGCCAGTGTAAGCCATTCATCCATGCTGCTTTTAGCTGTAGACAGGGAATAGGATGTGGAAAGGGAAAGACTCAGGATCACGGGAACGGGTCTGTTCCGGCCAACTCCTCGGGCGACCATTCGACGAAATTTGTCATACACACCCCTTGGGGCAGGAGAACTGGCTGTAGCGAGGAAGGCATGAGGAATACCTGAGAGCAAAAAGCATTGTCAGCAATCCAGCCCAGATGTGAGCATTGATGGTGACTAGGATGCTGGGGGTGCTTACGGGATGAACAAGCGTAAGGCCTGCGAGGGGCACTGCTTCCTTCTTGGGCGTATACCTCATCACTGGAAGTAATCCGCAGAGGTAGGCACGATCTACTGGTGAACTGGGATTCACATCGGCAATCATGGCCATGTCCTTTGTTTATCTCCCACTCTCTCAGGGATCCAGTGGCCAGGTCCTCCCGCAAAAGAATGTTGAAGCCTGCATAGGCATCGGCCAAGGTATCATCACCCACGAAGACGATTCCATCGAATTTCCGAAGAATGTCGCATACTTCGGCGCTAGTGAACCAACGATAAGAGCATCCTGGAGGGGAAGGTCAGTTTGAGTGTCAAGAAGGCAATTGTTGCCCCTCTGGAGCCCCTCCGAGAAGCCGAAGTGTCCGATACGAGAAAAGAAAGACCATCGATTTGGCACTTGCCTTGAGAGGTATACGCAGCGTCAAAGCCGTGACGCCCGCCATTGCTCATGGCGTTGAGCAGGGCATCACGAGATTGGCAGTATGGATTGCTTGAAGCACGTTCGCCATCACCGGGTTGAGGGGGGCTGAAGAGGGACAGGGAAGAAATGTCGCACTCTTGACGACCCACATAGGGAGCCAGTAAACTATGTACAAGACGGGGCCAGATGAGTAATTGGGTCATGGATCAGAGGAAACGATGAGGTCAACCTGAAGGGGGCAAAAACAAGGAAACTGACAGGGAGAGGCATCCAGGGACTTACTCATTCGTGTCTTTGGGGGTGAAAGGCTGTTTGGAAGAGGCGTAGAAGGGGTAGTAGAAGACATCCCGGATCAGCCAGACGATATAAAAGACACCCAACACCCACAAACAAGCCATCAACTTGTACGTGGAGGATCGCCAGGTGACCCTACGAATCAAGCGTCGACCGTTGGGCCCTTCGATCGGGCCGCGTCGCTGTGGAGCATTGCTTTGCTGCATCCCGGAGAAAGGATAGGCAAGAGCTTCGTTCATAGTAGATGAGATTCCCAATGATTCGCTGTGAGAGGCACGACGGCGAGACATATTGGGTTTGTTTACATGAACATGCAGCTGGAGGGGTAGTACAAGGGGGAAGGAAGAGAGTCAGGAAAGATGCATCTGCTGAAGTACCAGAAGCCCTTGTTTGCTTAGGTGACTGACTGCCCAGGGCTAATCCAGTCACAATGCAAGCTGAAGTCTCGGAATCAGGCAGGATTCCCAGCCAACGTAATGGGGCCAGCCAGGGGAAGCACCCCGAGAGGGGGCAAATAGGATAGTAGATAGTATCGGAGTAGGAAGGGAGTGAGGGGGGTTGTGATTTGTGTGGTTTGAGGCCGGAGACAGGCCGTCTTGTCTGGCACGACTCGCCCGAACGGGTAATCAGAGAGGCACGTAGAGGTTGATGGTGATGGGTGATGATGATGGGGTTAGAAGTGATAGTAAGAGTTGTGGCGTTGGAGACACTGACTGCTAATTTCCTAAAGCAGGAAATAAACAATCACCACACGAGAGAAGGAGAGGGGTGGGTAAGATGGGAGGGGGAGTAGCTGAAGAGTGGAGGGAGGCCTTTAGATGTCTCCTTCCGATTGGGATGATATTATTCCCAAGAATTGGTGCCTCTCTCTGTCTCTGTCTCTCTCTCTCTCCACGTCTCTCTCTCACTCTCTTCTTCTTCGTCCTTGCTTTCTTTCTCTCTTTGCTTCGATTCTCTTCTTCTGTTCTCCTAGTCCTAACTGGACGTGACTTTGCTTTCCCTGCCACCTGAGATTTCCTTCAGTCAAAGTCGACGGTTGCCCCAAATCCGTTCCACCAAGTGGCCTCTCGTTCTTTCCTTTTTGAGCAGGTTTCTACTTCCCACCCAGTCCTTTTGCTCTGTTGGTTTGACTGGTTTGCTTTCAGGCTTTATTATTTTCTTTTTTCCCCTTCCTTTCTTTTTTTTTTTCTTTCTCTTCCAATTTTTCCCCTCTTTTTTTTCACTTCTGTCTGTCTGTCTGTCTTGTTTGGTCTCCTCTGGCTTGGCTCACAAGTGGTCCTCTTTTTTTCCCCTGAATATTAACCAATACGAAGGCTCCAATGACAGGACCACACACGCGCACACACAATGGGATCAACAGAGTGACAGAAATATAACCTAGAAGGCAATGGAGGGGCAAGTAGTAATTATGAAGGAGGGGCTAATTGACTGGTTCCGGGCCAGTGAAGGGCAGAGATTCGGCTTCAACAGCATGAGCGCAAAAAAGGCAATGCTGGGAAGGTTTGCGGATCCTCTCTATCGGGTTCCTGCCAATGAGTGAGTGCACAGCAACAACCCAGCCAGATAGTCTGGTAAACGCCTTCTCCAGTGCAATCGGGAAGATTAACAATAAGAATTGCCAAAGGGAAAAAGAAATATGAGATCCAAAACAAGAAAAAGCCAACTAATCATCAAAATCTATGAAAAGGAAAAAAAGAAAATAAAAAAAAAGACGATTAGAAGAATGAATCCCAACGGAAGAGGGATTGAGAAAGAAACCCAGAATACACACACACAAAAATTTCAGAGACCATAAATCAATACTAGTAATGAAATATAATAAATGAGAAAAAAAGGTATGACGAGGGTTTTTGATGTTCGTGCAATGCCGGTTTGCATCATTTTTCTTTTCGCACCCCAAATTTTTTTTTTGTTCCTTTTGGGTTAGAACAATAAACCCACAGGGTAACGGAAATAAAAAACGAACAACTAAAAACCGACACATGCCCTCAATCAAAGCCGCTGGAACAAAATCCTGGGACAAGCCATCCTTCCACTGCATGTAAACAAACTGGTCGATGGATCCATTTTACCCCCTCCCTTCTTGTCCCGATCCATCAGTCCACAGCCCGGGATGAGCTATAGCCATCATCATAACACATAAGAATGGCAACGAAACCCACTCCCGCACACAAATAATAACAAGCCTCGGGGGAAGAAATTGGTCCGTGACATCAAATCGGACACTTTTCACTCACCTATTATGGAAAAGTTTGCCCCTCTAAATCGTAATCACTGCGTTTCCCGACCACTTCGGGATCTGTCACAGATCACACAATCGATAATACAAGAGAAATGGATAAATAATAATAAAAAAAAAATGGAAGAAAAATATATAGTATGATAGTGTGATATATATATAAAAAGAAAATAAAAAGTTGAGGCCCAAGATAAGGTGGTGAGATCAACACCAAATCTGAAACTGAATAAAAAAAAATAACACAAATAAAAGTATCGGTATCCCCCAGAGAAGTCCCGTGGAAAAGAGAAACTGAACTCAGGGTCGACCCAAGAGTTGCCGGTGCTTCCTCGGCGATTTTAAAACGGTCAACTCACACCGTACGGTGAGATGAGGGCCAGTCAGATAACCTGACGGGCAGATACTCGAGGTGACGACTAGTAGTTCTCCGGTTGGTGGGCCAGACAGGTGTCAAAAAAGTTAACGAGACTCCACTGTTCAAGAAGGTTTCGGGCGGAAAGGACATGCGAAGAATTGAATGTGAGACCAGAGGGACGCCAGCTGGAGTTAACTGAACTATGGCCCCGGTAATTGCAAGCTAACTAGGGGAGGAGAGAGCCCCTTTAGGGGACGAACAAGGGCCTTAGTTAGAGCCAGTCCATGGTCACCTTTTTTTTAATGACAGGGGGTGTGGGTGGGTTGTCATCGACGGGGGTATGTGTGTGTGCTGTGTGGGTGTGTGTGTGTGGAAAATCGGGCTCCATCTCTCGCAGACTCACATTTCTTCTTTCTTCGAAAGTGATAGAGCAGAAATGACAGAAGATCATGACGACGCAATGATGGGTAAGGAGTCACCACCTGCCTGAAAGGCTTGGGTTGGGCATCCGTTTTCCATGACCGTTCATCTCAATTTTCTTTTTTCTTTTCTTTTCTTTTCTTCTTCCAATTTTTACTTTTTCTTCTATTTTCTCTCTTCTTGTTGCTCCGCCTCTTTTTCCAGCCCTATGCAGCGGTTTGGGGACTGATAGGAGTTCTCACCGCGTCGCGTCGTCTCTTATCCTCGCTCATCTTTATCAGGACGCGGCCTCGCCTGATTGGCTCTCCCCGTCAGTGGACTAACCATCGGAGATGCACCACGAGGATCTTCGCTGCTGCGGCCGTCGTTTAAATATTCCACCTGGGTCTTTTTGCTTTTTCCTGCTGTTGTGTCCGTCCAGTGACTAAGTTCTAACGGTAATGAACCCAAGTACAAAGCCACGATGTGGCGGTCCAGCAGATGGTTGCCCAGAACTTTCTTCATTTTTTCGTATGCAGGGACAATACGAGATAGAACCACGAGCATACGTCCATAACAATACAATTCTTAGTCTTATTTTATATCATAAGAGGGATGTTGTCCTCTACCACATCTGCACTTTTTGTTTTTCCCTTCATGAGACGATTTGTTTCTAGTTCAGCTTCCCGTCAAGTGTTGCTAGCCATCAACGTGGCAGGTGACTAGAATTCTATTCATCTAGACCCTAATGGGGAGTGGTCACGAGGCCGATCCCAACAGCGATAAACTCCAGCGATAAACTCCCCAGAGAGTTACTGACTACTAATTGGGAGCCGGTGTACACGGTATACATAAGCTTGTTGAGAACCTCATGAAGAACCACGGATCACTGGGGACACCCGCGGGAAGGGGTGAACCTAATCAGGGTGTACCTTGACAAAAGCAGCCAGCTGCGTTTGAAGATGGAGGGGAGAGACAAAGAAGCAAATCCGAGGCTGACAAGGAACAAGGGACTCTAGACCTAACTACTATTACTCTTGCTGGATGGGGTTCTGGCCAGTCGGAGTGTGCGCGTGCCCCGGATTCGAACCAGCCTCGGACGAAGGGGAGATCCGGAGAAAGGTTCAGCTTGACACCGGCAATCCCGTGTGCGTCGACCTATTGCTCGTGACTACAGCTATCTACTAAACTATTTCTTGACTAGTCAATAGTTGACACACACTACAGTGACTACCCAGGCCCGGAGAATATCAGCTTAAGTAAGATGAAGGTGCATATAATGCCACCAGCAGCAGCAAGGGTCACATCGACACATCCCCACAGACACAGTCGGCTGAAAGGGTCTGCGCGATGAGGCAAGAGGGGGAGGTGAATGGAACATGGCCAGCCATGACCAATTTCCTCCGTAGAGGGCAGATCTGCGATGTTGTCTGTCCGCCAGCAGAGCAGAGCAGAACAGGCGATTCACGGAGTATTTGAGCCCGGAGTGTTCCTGCTTTTCCCTAAGACCGGGTGGTGCAATGGGCCTTTTCTTGAATCCTTATAAAAGAGTGGCTCCGAATCGGCAGAGGAAATAGCAACATCCTCGGCCAAGCACGGGATCGCAGACGGCAACTGCCCCCCCACCAGCACACGTGACCCTTGACTCCCCGGGAATTGAGAGTCTCAGTCTCCGCAGCTGCCCATCCAAAAAGAGTCATTCCTCCTCCACCGGTCGGTCTGCCCACTTCCCTCCGCCCGTGCTCTCTTTCCTTTTTCTCTCGACTTTCCCACCAACACCCCCCCAAAAGTGTCTCGATCGGTCTGAAAAGTAAGATCTCTTCTTGGCTATTGTTTGTTCTTTTTTTTTCTATCTATATTGTCCCCGTGGTGGTATATATCTCTCTGTCTCCTGCCCACCCGAGTTCCTGGTTCTCTGCGAGGCACCATTCCGGGGATCTTCATACCGCCCGCCGTTCCGAGCTCGCCTGCGAGCGGAGGTGTCCCTCAACCTCGGTAGTCCTTCTCCCACCTCTCTCACTCCTTACCAACTATCACAATTGACTGACCAGCTATTCGACCAGCTGCTCTCAATAATTTGGAGCGCTTGTATAACTCACATTGGTTGTATCGAGTGCTATTCCAGGCCGTCTGGCCTGATCCTCGCGTTGACATCATGTGGAAGCCGTCGGAGAGTCTGATGAACACCATCAGACATTATGCCAGCTTCCCTGCTACTGGTGTCTCTCTCCGGCAGATGGTGCAGTTTGGAGATAGGCCCTCCACAGGTAAGTCTTCTTGTTTTCTTTTACAAGCAC